TTGTAAGCTGTCATTTAAATCATTTAGCCCAGCTTTACATTCTGCCAATAACGAAGGAAGAACATTAAGGAAGTTACGTGTAAATTACAATAACAATAAGACACAATAAATATTGAATGAAAACTCTTTAACGTTCCTTTCAAAGAATAATCAATTCAATTCTTTAATCGATTCAACCAATAATAAAGATTTAATGTACACAAACAATATGAATACTTAATTACATAAAAGCAAGATAAAGAGGTAACAATGGGCGGCCTTATCGCTGAATAGCATCTCTTCCAGGTAACCTTAGGATAGAGAGGAATAATTAAAATTGAGTCTCATCTGTGTCTGTCGTAACAGAAAAATAATAAGACTGAAAAAGGGCTAAAGATAAATTCAAATGCAATGTAAATAAAAAAATATAGTTATATACATAATAATAATAAAATACTTATACTACACTTACATAAATATATGAATATACATATAAAGACAAATATACTAATATGTACTACGACGGAGATGATTTCTTAAATAATATTTTTTTACCACCAACTTAAGAAAACAATATACATAATTTATTTATTTATTTTTTGGAAAACGTACAGCTGAATTACAGTCAATACATAATCAAATTTATATCTATGTTAAGCCATGAATCGTTTTCACATTTGCGTAATGACACAATTGATCGGTTTTTATATATGCAAAATATATACATACATACATATACACACTTACAAATATGTATATATATATATATATATATATATATATATATATATATATATATATATACACACGCATATATGCACACATCTATAATAATTAAAATACATATATAATACGAGTAATATCTTACTATTAAAAAAACTTGTAACTAGATGATGTTTGTACACGTGAGATATTTAAGAAAAAATAATATGAGGGGAATTATTAAGACCAATAGAGGCCAAAACAAAAAATATTAGAAATTGTGTCTATCTACCTGCATGTTTGTTCTAGTATCACGCAAAAACTACTACATCAAATTGAATGCGGATTTCACAGTTGTATAACTGAAGGTCTTGCTGGTGTATGTTTCATCTTGATACGCCATCTAAAAGCGATCTTATTCATTAGTTTTCCTACTTTTGAAATCTACTAGATACCACGCCTACATACACAGACCATCAGTGTATGTCGGTTGCAAATCCAATGACCCGGAGGTTGTTGCCTCCGGAGTTGAAGCCGGGGTGATGGGGAATGCCCCGAGGCCCCTACCTCGCGGGCAAAGAGAAGCCTTGTTGTTGTTTGAAATCTACTTGTAAGAAGTAGCGAGCAAAAATCTGGAGTGTAATAAAAGTATAATAAAATAATTGTATTTTATCATTTATTTATTATATCATTTATGTATTTTTAGCTAAATAATATAAAATAGCTTTTGGTATAAATATTTATCTTGCTCTGGAAAATGGCTCATAATGCCATTGAATTTTTAAAAAGTTGAATTTTTATAAGTATTTATACAGTCAAGAAAAAAAAAAACATCGTACACGCACGTACAAACGTAATGCGCTCGCACAAACACACACTGCAACTAGTTAACGTTCTACTGTTGTTATATATATATATATATATATATATATATATATATGTATATATATATATATTTTAAATTTTTTAATTACTTATCTCTAATTATATATATAGGCTAGTAGTTGTAATAATAAAATAATAAAACTTTACATGTTCTCTCATAAGAGGAAGATATTAGTCTACAGAAAACATGATTCCTTACTTTAACAACATAATACTACAGGCATCTTGCAGACTACAACCCAGACCCCCTGTCTAGACTACCGTCCTACATGGGACTGGATATCGATTTTGTTTATAGCTTTTTAAAAACACCGTCTACTTTAGCAAACAGCTATTAGTAAAAGTCATGGGATAAATCTTTGGAATTTACTTTTGTTTTTTGTTTCTCTGATTTATTCAATGCTCCTTTGTTTTTGCTTTTTTGATTTATGCAACAATTTGCTCACGCCAGTATGTTTCGAAGTCTACATTTTCAGTATTAATAATAGATAAATATCTTTTGCTCCACAAAAAGCAATTTCAGACAACGGATTGTTTTATAGATACACTAGTTTTAACCCGCGAGTTCGTCTGCGTGTTTAGGTTATGTTCTGTTTAGCGAATATCCGTCGCCATTCCGCATAGTAAGTACTTATGTATAAAATTTCATAGTGATTGGTTATTAGTGATAGGTGTTATAAGGTAACAAACAATATCAATTTCACATATTATGTATAATATTAGTAAGGATTAGATTGGAAATATTTAAATTTAGACCGTGGAATCGTATAACTAAGTTGATTTTCCTTTGCAACTAACTTTTTTTTGGCTCTTTAAAGAAAATCCGGACAATTTTAATCGTGACATTTCACAATCGGCTTTTAAATAAAATATGTTCTAATGTCATTCTTAATGAATTGACAGTTTTACTGGCTACATAGCCACAGAAAAATATAAAGGAATTGAAATTCTCCTTAATTTGCAAATCACTATAAAATCAAAAGCATACCTTATGATGTATATTCATCCTGATTATTTATGTAACAAACTCCATATTATCAAAACATGACATATAATATTTAATTAATTATTTAATTTTCATTACTATTTTCTTTATTCTTTTCAAGTTACACACCAATGCTTTCGCTATAGTAGCTTAGACACATTTGCTAACTAATTGCATTAGCTTAAAAGCCCTTGTAGTGTATTGTAAAAAGAGTAATTATTTTTTATGTCACGCCCTGTCTACGGGGTGATGAAATTGAATGTATATAGTAATTACTCTTACAAATGCCGTGGTGTTCCACAAGGTCGTCATATGGGACCAATAGTCGAGTGATGAAATGCAAGGTGCATTTGCCTTTAATTTGCTAAATAGTATTATTAACTAGTGATTCGGCCTGGTTTCCTACGGGTAGATAGAGTTTTCGGAAATCATATATATCAAAATTTTCGAAAATAATAATATAATATGTTACTCGTTGATAATATAGCTTTCTATAAATGAAAGAATTCTTGAAATCAGTTGAGTAGTTTTCGAGTTTATCTTATACAAACAAACCAACACTCATATCTTGGTTTTTATAATATTAGTATAGATGTAATATATATCTTTTGTTATGTAAATATTATATCATCATCATATCAGCCTCTAATTGTCCATTGCTGTCCTCCTCCTTAGCCTCCCCCTTGGGGGGTTTTGCCAGTAGTTGCCACGTTTGGCAGGCCGTTTCGCAACCGCAGTTAAGCTTTGGAGATGTTTTAAGAGGAATACTGCTGCCCATCTCTCGCTCTCCTTTAGTCGTCTCTTACGATACCTACGGGAAAGGAAGGAGTGACCCATTCTATGCTGGGGCACATACGGGACAAGTATTAAAAGTGAATAGAACACTAATACTGTTGCATTGAACGATAAATACAATTATTTTAATATATTGGAAGGTATAAATATATCCAGGTTATATCCTAATATATGTTTATCTTCTATATATCCAGTTAATTCCATTTAGTACCTTCAGTTAAATTCAATGTTAATTTAAAAATAAGACGAGATTGATTGTTTATACAGTAGAAGTATGTAGTATACAATAGTACTTCTTTATATGTAAAAAGATTTCAATATTATGAAAAATCAAACAGTGAATTTCGGAAAGATTAACAAAGCCACATTCACAAACTTTCATGTTTTATTGTAAGTAAAATAATAATAAAATATAATTCACATAAACAACAAAGAAAAAAATATGTAATAATATATAATAGTATATGTACCTATTTATCTATAAGCTTTTACGTTAATTGAGTCAAGTAAAAAGTAATTAAATTTAACATCGAAGTAAATACATCGGGAATATCCATACAGTCCCTAGCGATATATTAATTATCAGCTATATTGTATATGTGTTTATATATATATAAATATTACAGGAAACTTATCAGTCCAGTTTTCAGTCAATGGTGTTAGTTTATAACGACCGGTCACTTTAACTGCGAAATATTTCTTTATTTAAAAAAAAAATAAACAGCGAAAGTGTAATGTGACTGAAAAATAAAAAATAAATGTAGATAATTAAAAAGAAAATAAAACAAATATTGTCGATAGTTTAAACAATTGTACTACAATAGAAATAAATAGAAAAATCAATCGACTCAAGGACATACATCATGGTGACACACAGTTTCAGTGTTATCGACACATTCTAATGAATATATGAAGAGGAACCAATTTAAATTGGATTTTACAAAAAATGGCTTCTAATTGATATTTACTTGCCCTAATATTTAAGGATATTGGTATATAGTGTACTATATTCGGGGTACACGATAACAATTGGTTATATATTATAATAATAAAGTGAATCCGCTACGTATACTCGTATATATGTTTATATCCTTATTATTATTGTTTCTTGCTTATTGTGTTAATATTTTATTATGTGTCATATAATTTTTATTTTTATTTAAAACAATAAGATTGTTGTTTTATAACAAAATTTCATTAGATATAAATAAATATTTAATTGTCAATATAAAAAAAGAAAAACTATTGAATCATTAATTTTAATAATAACTCGTTTATTATTTCCAATGATATTAGGAAAAGTTTTAAATAGTAAGTTATATGCTTTCGGTAGTACATGAAAATATTAATATTAGGTACCGAAAATTGCTTTATAACTTCATTAAAAAAATCATTAGGTAATGTGAATTGTAAACATATTATAAATATTAATATGTTTTAGTATCGGTTAAAACTATTTTAGGCTGAATGCGTCATATAGAGATAATTAGTTTAATAAATATTAACTCGGATACAGAATTGACCAATATAACTTAATGACAATTGAAGCATTGAAATTGTGTCGACCTTGATGATTTAGGTTAAGCAAATTAAGAAAAGTATCTCAATCGTTTAAAACAATCCACTTAAGCTATTTACTTAAGTGCAGTTTGAAATAGAAACGGTAACAGTCATAATGTCGAGCGAAGTGCAAGAAGACACATTTTTGAAATTGTGTAAAGAAGACGTTGGGAATTTAAAGACATTCTATTTAAGTGCTTCTCTGACGGCTGCAGCGGATTCATGGAAGAACAAATCTCTCGTTGCGTCTCCTAATCTAGGCAGAATGTTAAAACAAACAAGCAAAGTCTCTCCTAAAGATGTGTCTATGGAACCAAATTCTATAACACGCATGTTGGATGATTTCAAAGAAGTTAAATTACAACAATTAAGTTACCACTCGAGTCCTTTTTGGGCCACGAAAGTAGACACTAAAAATTCGATCCCTGAAGAGACTTTAACACTGAAACAAGTTACTGTAGTTTCAAGAAGTAATTATGTAACGAACAAAGCTTTAGTGTTTGATAGAGAAACAATTGCATCCCCAAAAGTGACTTTGAAAGATCATGCGAAATATTCACCAGATAATGTTAAGTTCGCTGTATCTGAACATAAGGTGTACAAACTGCGGTTACCACCCAGCTACAGTGGGAGTAAGATGTTTATGCGTACAGGCGAACAAGTTTTTTGGGTTTGTTTTATTTAGATTATACCTACTTAGAGGCTTTATAGAAAATATCTGTAATGTCAATGTTTTTGTCGATTTTCTAAAGCATTTTTTCCAGTTTTTCATAGCAATCTAAAAGTCTCAAAGGTGCACGTTCTCCTGCATGTGTTTTGCAATACCTCGGTGCAAATAAAAGAAAAGTCAAAGCATACATATACGAGATCTGTTAGGTGCTTGATAAAACAGTTCATTATTTAACTCGGTACAATCATACATGTTACGGAAAATTTTGTACAGAAACATTTAAACCAACCTTCTTTTGCTTAACAATGAATGCAGAATTTACTCAAGTTCAAAATTTTATGTAGTAATTGCCAATAAGAATTCAGGCGGAGTTAATTGTACTCTATTGTATTTAAATTTAAGGGCGAAATTGATACAAAGTAATTAGAACTATCCTTGCTAGCTATGTAGTTTTTCCTGATGTTTTTTAATCAAGCCATCTAAAATAACATTAAAAAAAGACAGCGTAATTATATGGTTTCTTATAAACCAAGTAGGTAAGTTAGTTACATAAAAATATAGTTTAGCAATAAAGGACACCAACGCGAATCAGTGATACATAAAAATAAACAACTTTTTCCAAGAAATATAGTGGAAATGTAAAAAGACTTTGATCTAATCATACTTAAGTCTATTGTGTAGTCATGCGGTTTTTATTGCCCACTAATTCCATTGCATTCAAATATTTGCCCAAAAATTACGTGTCTTTACAGTGAATGATGCTAACATCCTTTTCAGGATTAGGTGTGGTAGATAATTCAGTGTGTGGTATCTGCCTCAGGCTTTTAGTAATGTCCTATCAGTTTATTACATTGCCCATATAGAAGTATTTGTTTTGCATTTCAAATGTGTCAGAATGTTTTATAACTGTAAAATGTTTTTTTTTTATATAACTTAGAATGGCAAACAAGCTGACGGCTCACCTGATGGAAAGTGGTAACCGTCGCCTATAGATATGAGCACAGTTTATCATTGCTGGTTATTATAAGCATACGGATCGCTCTGGTAATTTTTTTTATTTATTTCGGTACAGTCATTACAAAAAAAATATAATTACATTTTTTTGTTATATAAAAATAGACAACAAGTACTTCTAGTATTTGCTGAAGATTAATTAGTTCTTGAAAAAGGTACCTTAAGGGGAGTCGGTTGGCGCCTTCCAAATAAATAGTTATCTGGTTTATAAGTAATGAAGATGATAATATTTTCAACTGATTTTAAATAAGGAGGTTTTCAATTCGGTTGTATATTTTTTGTTTGGTGTTTCAGGACTTTATCTTCTATAAATTTAGATTTAAGGATTTTATATATCTAAAAGGATATACTTTAAGATTTGTTCCATAATGGAAATAATAGAAATGTGTTAAATAATAGATTTTATTATTTAATAAATCTCGCGTCTAACCTATTATTTCCACAGCTCGGTGAGACCCGGCCATCGTCGTTCGGTCCAGCGACTTATCAGGACTTCAAGGAGATTAGGTCGCGGTGTATAGCCGACGGGAGACTGTTCGAAGACCCCGAGTTCCCTGCCATAGACCGCAGTCTGTACTACAAGGAGCGTCTCGACAGACCCATTACTTGGTTACGGCCTAGTGTGAGTATTTACTTTTTAACCGACTTCAAAAAAAAGGAGGTTCACAATTCGATTGTATTTTTTATATTTATTACTTCTTAAATCCGTTAGTCTTAACCGATTTAAAAATCTTTCTTTATTGAAAAAGATATTCTTACTCAGTTAAATAAAGTTAAATAAAAAAAAAATATACTTACAGAATCGTCAGCGTTGCCATTTCTGAGTATTACGATATACCTCTTGTATCCTATAAATTCACTGCTTTATTTCTACCCTCTAAACCGAAACACAGCTGTGTAAGTATAGCTATTTCACGGCAAATACACAGATGGGACAGAATTACCCATGTAGAATCTTTTGTATGAAAAAAATGAAGATGACTGGAACGATAGAGGCAACTCTGGCTTTTAGCCTACTCAGACTCTCGCTACTGAACACAGCTTTCCCACAACAGGAGGATATAAACTTACTATTACGTACGCGCGTATTTAAACGCGGTGGCAAAGTGGTTTCTCGGATCTTTTTTATGCAACATAGAATGGCAAACAAGCTAACGGCTCACCTGATGGAAAATGGTAACCGTCGCCTATAGACATGACCAGTACTATGGAGTTAACAGAGTGTACTGTTTTGCCCATGATACCCCCCATGCGGTGCCAATCCTGAGGACTCAGGTGTTATTCCTCTGTACTCTGTAAATTCACGCCATATCCCACCCTTCAAACCGAAACATAGCTATACAACATAACTGCTTTACGGTAGAAACACGAATGGTACAGAGATGCCCAAGCAAACGACTTTTGTACAAAGTCTCCCTCTTTGGTAAATTGGTTGGTTACTTTATTTGCCTACTTTTAGTACCCTTTTTATGTAACTCAGAATACCAAATAAGCCCATCTGTTGGAAAGTGGTATAATCACCTGTAGACTTGGACAGCGACATGGGCATTGCAGACTATACACTTGACAAGAATCGTGTTTTTATTTATTATTATTATTTTAGACTAGTTTTATCCTGCGGCTTCCCTTAAAGTACCCTATGTGTTAATATAATTATTTATTGTCTATTGACTAACATTATAAAAAAGTAATTGGTACAAAGAGCGAACTTAATGTTATATAGCATTCTCACTCAGTTAACGTTTGGTGAAACAGAAATGTAATTATGCGGTGAAAATATTGATAATTGACGTGGGTAAATACTATTACTTACTCGTGTATTAAATTTCATTCAAATTTGTTCAGTAGTTATTGCGCGAAAAAGACAAATGAACATTCATTCATCCATTGTTACAAATTTTCGCATTTATAATATTAATAGGTTTTCATTTTTTTGATATGTATTTGTAGGAAATATGCGAGGATCCGCAACTATTTGTGGAGGGTTACAGTCGCTTCGACGTGCAACAAGGCGAGCTCGGCGATTGTTGGCTGCTCGCTGCGGTCGCGAATCTCACGCTGCACAGGAAGTAAGCACACAATATAAGGATGGAAATAATTAGTGAAACTGAACATTTTACTATTTATGTCAAACCGAATGTGATAAAAAAACTATATATTTTTTAATGCACTAAAACATACAGTAAAAATAATGATTAATAATAATGTAAACAAAAGTGTACTTATCTCTAAAAGAGATTTCTTCCAATCAACCTAATATAGTGGCATAGGAAGTAGTGAGTGGGCAGTAGTAGTGCAAAACAGAAATCACAGCACATATATGCTGATACAGGTTTTTCCCTGTCTCTCAATATAATATACAGGTTACGTAGAAGAAATTTCCTTTCCCGTAGTTGTCGTAAGAAGCGATTAAAGGGAACTTATTGGTCCAGAGATGGGCAGCAGCGTTTATCTTAAAACATTATCAAAGTCTAACTATGGCTGTCAGCCTGCCTGCCAAGGGAGCTAAATACTGTCCAAACTTATGGGAGAATCCTATGTTCAGCAGTGGACAGTTAACGGCTGATGGGACTAGTTAATGTAGATATATTATTGATCTATTTATGGTGACCAGAAATTTTTGAGCATCTCTGTAAATTATTGATGCCCATAAATTCCTCTCTTTCCGTGTCTAGGGAAAGTAGATAAAGCTTTATTTGTGAAATCAATTCAGGGTATGATAGGGCTGATATACTTGAAGAAGGTAAAAGCCCTTAAAAATAATAATAAAAAAATGTGTGTACAAAATAAAATTACCGCTATGAACTAACTATACTTTGTGACTAGAGAGAGAGAGAGAGAGAAAGAGAGAGAGAGAGAGAGAGAGAGAGAGAGAGAGAGAGAGAGAGAGAGAGAGAGAGAGAGAGAGAGAGAGAGAGAGAGAGAGGAAAAGGGCTATAGATATGGTACAAGAAAAAGAACCAATTTTAATATTTTTTGATTCTATTTAAAATAGTGATAGTGAACTAGTAAGTGTAAGCTTTAGTGTGGACGCTATTAGATTTTTTTTTTTGAGTAATTGTGTAATTATATGAAAAATTAATTGGGTTTGTGTGGAAGTGAACTCTCTCGCAATCTACTAATATTACAAACATTTAAAAACATTTTAAAGTTATTTTGAATATTTGTTACACTTGAAAGCATCGGATTTGAATAAAATGAGACTGAAATTAAGATGAACCACGTGGAGGTCGACTTGATAGGGTATATTGCTAACAGACTGAGACTGAGAATCCTATTGCTAGCAATATACCTAACCAGGTCGACCTCCTCGCGGTTCTCCCTGGAAACTATCATGGTTAATTCCTGATGAATTCATTATGATGGGCTAACTGGTCTGTTTTCATTCTCATCTATCACCATTCACTGGTGCTCCGCCAGCATATCTCGTTAGCGCAGGCGGGGCTACCATACCATTTTCACCCATAAAAAAAACAAGTGGGCAGTTAGTCCCCATTACTAACAATCCCTTGCCCCTAATTTACATACGCTACTTTATAAAACGATTCACGTGGACAAAGCTGCGGGAAATACACTCCTCGCAAAAATTAAGGGAACATAAAATTTTTTGAAATTTTTGGGTGATTTTCAACAGGCTGTATTTCAGTGAAAAATAATCGTACAGGAAATTTAAAAAAAGGGTTTTGAAGCTTGAAAACTCTAGTTTTCAGATTTTTTGGTGAAAAAATTTTTTGAGCTCCGGTTTCCATGCAATTCTTAAACAAAGCTGAAAATATTTTTTTCTAAATTTTCTAGGTTTCGTTTTTCACTCTATGGGCATGGAAAAATTTTTTCGAGCTACTCCATTGTATAGGTCTCTTAGCGTGTTTATTCAGCTTCAAAAATCGCTTTGGATGGCTCAATTACGACCATTTGTCTCCGAGATATCGAACTTTGAATGCAAAAGCATCCTTTTCCATTCAACTGCTAATATCTCTGGAACTACTGGTCGCACAGCAAGCGGGCGCCGAGTTTCTTTATCTGCATAAAATTTCCAATTAAGCACAGTCAAGAGTTAGTGAAGAAAAAATTTTTTTCCACTTCTAACATTGAATTGAAAAAAGTGGAAAAAAGTTACTTTTTCTCCTTTTTTGGTTACTTGGCTGTATCTTCGCTAATATGGGCGGGAAAGCTAAGGTTTGAGGAAAATTTTACAGTCTATTGTTCCTTTAAGAACCCCCTAAATCCCTGGAGCGATCGGTTCAACGGTTTTTCCCGGACCAATTGATTGAAATTTTGGAAAAAATAAGGGAACAAGGTTTTTGTCCCTTAAACTCACCCTAATCCATTCAAAAATCAATAATTTCATTTGTTTTTCACTTTTTACTCAATTTTTTGTTTTTTAAAAATTCATTATCAAAAAAAAAAATCGAAAAAAATCAAGAAAATTTTATGCAAATAAAGAAACTCGGCGCCCGCTTGCTGTGCGACCAGTAGTTCCAGAGATATTAGCAGTTGAATGGAAAAGGATGCTTTTGCATTCAAAGTTTGATATCTCGGAGACAAATGGTCGTAATTGAGCCATCCAAAGCGATTTTTGAAGCTGAATAAACACGCTAAGAGACCTATACAATGGAGTAGCTCGAAAAAATTTTTCCATGCCCATAGAGTGAAAAACGAAACCTAGAAAATTTAGAAAAAAAATATTTTCAGCTTTGTTTAAGAATTGCATGGAAACCGGAGTTCAAAAAATTTTTTCACCAAAAAATCTGAAAACTAGAGTTTTCAAGCTTCAAAACCCTTTTTTTAAATTTCCTGTACGATTATTTTTCACTGAAATACAGCCTGTTGAAAATCACCCAAAAATTTCAAAAATTTTTATGTTCCCTTAATTTTTGCGAGGAGTGTAGCTAGTATCTTATAAGGTCAATGTTAAGGGGTAGGAAGTTTGCATTGTACACTTATATTGATATGTATTTATATGTTAACTCCAGGTTCTGGCAGTACGGCCGATGGGTGGACGTGGTCATCGACGACCGTCTGCCGACCTACAGGGGCAAGTTGGTTTTCCTCCACTCCTCGGAGAGGAACGAGTTCTGGAGCGCGCTGCTGGAAAAAGCGTATGCCAAGTGAGTTTGGATCTACCTATTCATCATCTGGCCCCAAACTGTTCAGATCTTTTAGGGTTAGACACCACTGTGATGTACATCATAACATCGATCCTTCCACCTTTTAAAATCGTCAGAATAATTTATAGGGAGCACTTTTTAACCACAGGTTGCATGGGTCGTACGAAGCACTTAAAGGCGGATCGACATGCGAGGCGATGGAAGACTTCACTGGCGGCGTCACGGAAATGTATGACATGACGGAATTACCTCCCAACTTCTACACCATCCTGCTGAAGGCTTACGAGAGGAATTCTCTTATGGGGTGCAGTATAGAGGTAAAGTACTTTTCGCTTCAGACAAATTCCTAATGCTCAGTACTTTGTCCTGGGCATATTTTATTAAAGCTTAATAATAACATGGTAACCATGCTTGAACTATCCGGTATACGCTGGTGGGGCTCTAGTGAGTGATGGTAGGTGAGGATGAAGGTAAGTTATCGTGACGAAATCATTAGGGATTGACAATGTTGGTCCAGGAGAGACCACGCGGATGTTGATTGCACAAGGTTTGTTGCTAGCAATGGGGTTGTTAGATCCCATTAAAACAATATTTTTCCTCCGCTGTTTGGTGGTAGAGATTTGAGTGAGAAATGAACGTATATTTGGACGTTTTACAGCCAGATCCGCATATTTTGGAGGCGGAGACGCCGGCGGGATTGATCCGCGGGCATGCGTACTCAGTGACGAGGGTCAAGTACGTGGACATCGAGACGCCGGGTCGCGCCGGCAAGATCCCGCTGCTGCGCCTGCGCAATCCCTGGGGCAACGAGGCCGAGTGGAATGGACCCTGGAGCGACAAGTTAGTCACGGCACATTGCTATATTCTTGTACAAATGAGTGTACCTCAAGGTTCTATTCTAGACCCATTTTTATAAATTCCTATTTTATATCTAAAGTATTTTTATTTTCCATTGTATCTTTATAATATACATATAATTAGCAAACCGCTCCATCTTCGCAATTTTTTTTTTTAAATATAGCTCATGTTATTCGCTGACAATGTATGAATAGCTTTCTATGGATGTAAAAGTTTTTAGAATGAGTGTAGTATTTTTTAAATTTATCCATTACAAATAAATAATGAAATCTCTCCTTTTTATAATATTTATTTAGATATACTGTTAATTTGAGTATAGTTCTTTAGGTTGGTATCGAGAGTTTCTTGGCCATTTTTGTTATATACGAAGTTCTTTGACGTGGTTTACCAGACGACTTTTTATTCCTTTCGAATAATGACAATCACTTCTAATTGATTCATGGGTGAATTTGAAAATTCAGAAGTTTATGCTAGGATGCAATTTTGGGGCCCTGCAACCACAGTTTAACATTGTCCATCTGGGCTGTCACTGCAATATTATAACATAAAACTTCACTGTGTCTAACAGATCTCTTTTACAAATGGGTGTACCTCAAGGTTGTATTCTTGGTCCATATTTGATTTATTTGTTTTATTTATATATTTATTTAATACTTTATTGTACATACTAATTAGGTATACAGAAAAATATGACAGAGGTAAGCAAATAAACAAAGGCGAGCTTAACTTTAAAAGTTTTATAATTTTTTAAGTTTTATGAATACTCTATATTATTAAAGTTAATGGATGTTTACTGACATGATCTCATTTTAGATCTCCGGAGTGGCGGTTCATACCAGAGTCTGAAAAGGAAGAACTGGGTCTCACTTTTGATGACGACGGCGAATTTTGGATGTCATTCAAGGATTTCGTTAACCACTTTTCAAGGTGAGTTATACAGCGATTTTTTTTTATGTTAATTCGGTACATCTTTGACCATAATTTCACTTAATCTTAAGTGACAATGGAATTTAAATTGTATACAAAATCAAATAATGTCAATTTACTCTAGCCTTGAAAGACACCATATTAATCAAATACGAAAACGGACGTCCGAAGAAAATTTTACACTTTAAAATACTGTCTGATTGAAATAAGGTTTCAAATTGCAAACTGAAATGGAAACCTAATTACAATGATGTTGCAAGTAAGGGGAATATGCCACCCCATGGCTAGAAGTATACCATGGCCCATCTACTTTAACTACATTTTACCTTGATTAAAAAAATGCATAGTTTTGTGCGAAAAACTATGTCTCTATATACCCTACCTAGATGACAACACTGCATCACGCATACTTGCAGCCTCTTATCGTCGATCGATCGTAGTCTAACAATATTGAGGTAGATCGCTCGCAGTTCAAGTAGAGGTGTTCACCTCTACTGTAGGAGAAAACTCCTAGAAAATCCAGATAATTTCTCTTGTTTTTATTTCAGAGTAGAGATTTGTAACTTGAACCCTGACTCGTTGGATCCGGAAGAGTGCCCAGAAGGTTGCACCAAGAAGTGGGAAATGTCTGTGTTCGAAGGAGAATGGGTCAGAGGTAGGTGGAGAGAGGAATGTGTTTAACTACCTTCAACACGCAACTAATTTACAGGACCTATATATTATCTTGGTTTTCGAATGGTCGAGTCGTTAAAACACGAAGAGGTAACAAATAAACTATATGTTGCTATAATTAAAGTCGATTTTTTATTGAGTGCAATCTTAATTTATTTATTTAATTAATATTTAAGTATATTAAATTGTGTATGCCTAAGGCGAAATATGTGGTGGATATATTATTATTTTAACACCTGTATATTTACCATGTTTCTTGCAAATAAATATTCATTCACTAATTCATTTATTTGATTTGCAGGCGTGACGGCGGGCGGTTGCAGGAACTACCTGGACACGTTCTGGCGGAACCCGCAGTACACGGTCACCCTCACAGACGTCGATGAAGGGGACGACGAGAACAAGTGTACGGTAAGTCGCATATGGTACTAGAGGTGATTTAGTTAAAGGATGACATTGGAGGTAGTGGATGCAGGTGGCTCAGGACCGTCCTTTATGGCAGTCTATGGGGGAGGCCTATGTCCAGCAGTGGATAGATAATGGCTGAGATGACGATGATGATCTTAGATGTTTGGTACAAAATATGGAATGGTAATTAACTACTATTGGAAAGACAAGTGTAATTATGCCTTAAAAAGTAGAGAAAATTATTAATTAAAAATGCATAGATATTGTGCAAATTTTTTTTTATACTATTCGTATTTTGGTTTAAAATGTAAGATTAATTAGGCCGTCAGCTTGTTTGTCTTTCTAAGTGTCATAAAAAACACTTCCATACTAACTACTCACTCTAACTTGCCTACCTTGCTTTAGAATTGTAGTTTTCGTTTACATACAAACATACATACATACATACATATCTGTCACGCCTGTCTCCCATTAGGGTAGACAGAAACAATGGAACGCCAAATGCTTCGATTCAAACAAACCTCTTTCGCTTCTTCCACATTCATCAATCTTTTAATACATGCTCGCCGGTTACGGTTACGTTTATAGTTTTTGTTTATATAATTGAAATCCATTATTGGCTGTATTTATATTATTTTATTAGTATGTGTATTATTTTTTAACAGAGCTGTGGATTTTTGTATTAAACAAATAAATTTATTAAACTTCTTCATGCGTTACTGTATTACGAAAAAAATTGTAAATATTTCTTTTTTTTTTTTTTAGATAATCGTGGCCCTGATGCAAAAGAACAGGCGGTCGCAGCGACACCAGGGGCTCGAGTGCCTCACGATAGGGTTCGCGGTGTACCGACTGCCTGATTACGGCCACGTGCCGAAGCCTCTCGACCTCAACTTCTTTAAATACAACGCGTCCGTCGGCCGCTCGCAAGCGTTCATCAATCTCAGGGAGGTCAGCGCTAGGTGGGTTCCTTTTTACTATGTCTGATACGGAAGTATACGGAACGACTGGGGTTCGGGGTTGAAAACATTGCTGTACATAGATCATAACAGTATTTGTTTTGTATAATCCACTGATGTAAATATACTAGTCTGTCAATCTTGTGCCCTCAACTAAGGCATATTAAATTTGGCGGGTTTCTTTAAACAAATCTTATTATGATTCGTGTAAGATGGGCTTTTAAACCTCCAAAATTATGAAAGATTTTACCGAAAATTTCAGGCAAACAGGAGGTAATAGAACTACAGCAAATAAATAATAATACATTTAGTTATATTATACAAATGTCACAAGTTCGAATTCGGTTCGAAGGATTATGTGATGTAATGGTGGTGAATGTGTTTGACCACAAAATGTTTCATCTGCACATGATATAAATGTACGGTGACTATTTAATTAGATTTGTTTATTAATTGAGACACCATTATTAATTATATCACAAAGTATTTTTTTTTATATCACTAAGGTGGCAAACAAGCTACATTATTCTGACATGATATGATTCCAATTTTCTATAGGATAGTCTCAGCCTAGTGCAGGATTCAATGTTAAACTTTGTGCTTATACAAACATACTTTGGTAATAAATGCATTTTTCTTTTTTTCACATTAATTGCTAACCAATGACGTATTTTTTTTTAATGGATGATAATGGAATGGTAACCCCATCTGCGCTATCCGTATACACCGGCTGGGCACCAGTGAAGGATGATAGGTGAGAATGAAGCAGGTCAGTTAGCCCATCGTGACGAATTCAACAAGAATTGTTCACCATGGTTTCCAGGGGGAACCACGTGGAGGTCGACCTAATAAGGCATATTGCTAGCAATGGGGCTGTCGAACTCCATTGCTAACATTTCCTTTCCCCCAACCGATGACGTATTAGAATCACATGTCTTTTTGATGTGCATACATGGTCCTACAACAAAAACTTAATGTTTTAAGGTTCAAATTCGAGCCGGGCACATATGTGATAGTGCCGTCCACGTTCGAGCCGGACGAAGAGGGAGAATTCCTGGTTCGTGTGTTCTCAGAAAAGTGCAACAATATGGCGTAAGAATATTTTTTTTACTATTTTTTTTTATAACTTCATAGTGGCAAATAAGTTAAAGACCCGCGTTATTGAAGGTGGCACTCGCTGCACATAGATATGAATAATATTATGAATATTATAAAATATAGTTAATTATAAACTTTCGCATTGTTTACACATATTTTAAATACACATAACAAACATTGGCAATAAAGAAGGAGATATGTAGGTAATATTTACCTGTAAAGACATAGAAGTCCTGATTGTGTATTTTAAATATTACAAAATATACTGTGATGCCATGTTACCATGCCGTGATACCACAACACAAAAAATGAATAACGTACATAATTATATACATTAATTCTGACTACAAGGATGATATTGTTTTTTTTTTCAGTGAAAACGACGAGGATGTTGGAATGGGTGAAGTGGATGATAGGGTGAGTTAGTTAAAGGTATTACTATAATTTAACATTAAGAAAAGCTGTCAAAAACAATAAAAACAAATGCTGTATATTGGTTCACGAGATATTTCATTAGGCTGATCTCTTTTTACTTGAAACAGATTAATTCTAACTGGAAGTTTTTTAATGCATAACGGGATGCATAATTTATATACCTTATAATAATAATAATTATTATTATTTTGTGTTTGCATGGCTGTATTTCGGTTTGAAGGGTGGGATAGAGCAGTGAATTTACACGGTACAGAGGAATAACACCTGGGTCCTCAGGATTGAAAACGCACGGGAGGTATCTTGGACGAAACAGTATACTCTGTTATGTCCATGGTACTGCTCATGTCTATAGGCGACGGTTACCACTTCCAATCAGGTGGGGCGTCAGCTTGTTTGCCATACTAAGTTGCATAAAAAAAAATACATGCATAACGGGAAGTTTTTTAAACTATATTTGTCGTTTCCGACAATTGTTTCCTCAGGGGTCTACAGTAATTTTAGATAGATAGATAGATAATTTATTTACATTACTTACAGCACACAAATTACAATAAAAAAAAAAACATACACATAATACACAGCAAAAGAGATAAAAGAATGAAAATAAAAAAGCACAAAACAAAAAAAAAAAATACCAAAAAAAACAAAATATACGAGGTCTGTCCGGAAAGTTCGTATAAAAGTGTTCTGGAATGCGAGAAAGAGGAGTGGGGAGGCCAGGTAAGCGCAGGACCCCTTCCTTATGTCCCTAACAATGCTTCAGTTCTGGTCTGACCGCCGTGCGGTGCGAACTGGCTTGTCACGCCATCTGTGAAGTTACCTCTTAACGAAACCCCGTCGGCATGGAGCCCGCTTCCGTTGAAGAGCAGCGCGTCGTAATCAAGTTTCTCTCGAAACTCGGCAAGAATGGCCGTGAAATTTTTGCCGATCTCAGAACAGTTTATGGGGATGATGCTGTGAAGGAACCAACCGTCCACAAGTGGCTAAAAAGATTCAGAGAGGGCCGAGAAAGCGTTCAAGATGACCCACGTTCAGGACGTCCTTCCACTTCACATTCCGACGAAAACGTGGAAAGAATTCGAACTTGTGTTAATGGGAACCGTCGTTTAACGGTCAGACAGGTGGCTGAAGAGCTTAATTTGGGCAAAACCGTGGTCCACGAAATTCTAAGAAACGAACTTCAAATGAAAAAAATTTGCGCCAAGATCGTTCCGTGAGTTTTTGAGTAAAAATTCCATTACGGTGACCGAACACCCCCCCTATTCGCCGGATTTGGCCCCGTGTGACTTCTTCTTGTTCCCAAAAACCAAATTGGTACTTCGGGGGCGGCATTTGGGGGACATAAATGAGATAAAAAAAGCTACGACGGGGCAGCTGAGAAACCTACAACCAGAGGACTTTCAAGGAGCCTTCTCACAGTGGAAACGGCGTTGGCACAAGTGCATTATGTCACAGGGGGAGTACTTTGAAGGGGATAAAATTGATTTACCTGAATAATTGTAAAATAAAATTTTTAAAAAACTTTTATACGTACTTTCCGGACAAACCTCGTATAAACTAACGATTTCCTTTCTTCATGCGTGTGCCACAGTAACACAAACTGGTCACAACTCAGCTTATTGCTTTGCCCTTAAAAGAGCAAAACACTAATATTATGTTGTGGCCAAGAGCAATTTGCGTCATAGCGTCTCGGCGTGTCTTGCTTATAAAAGTTAGAGAAGTTTTTTTATAAGAAAAATATGCCATTTAGTAGGCAAGCTTATAGTATAAATGTTATTGAATTACATCAAAGCAAATATTAATAAATCAACAGACAAAAGGTATATTAATACAATAATATATAATTAATTTAATTTATATTTTATATTCATGTACAATATTATGAGCGTATATCGAAGTGTGGCAGCCTGAAAATTTGTCATTTTTTATGTTGGAAATGTATTGGCCCGCCTACGCTAACGGTATACGCTGGCGGGGCACCACTGCGGGGTGATAGATGAGAATGAAAACATGCCAGTTAGCTCATCATGATGAATTCATTAAAAAATAATCATTATAGTTTCCAGCGGAGACCGCATGGAGATCGACCTGGTTGGGTGTTTTGCTAGAAATAGGATTGTTAGTTTACATTACTAAAAACTTGAGGACTCAGGTGTTATTCCTCTGTACCTTGTAAATTCACGCCATATCCCACCCTTCAAACCGAAATACAGCTATGCAAACACAGCTGCTTCACGGTTGAAACACGAATGGGACAGAGGTACCCAAGCAATCGACTTTTGTACAAAGTCTCCCTCTGGTAAAAATTATTTGACATTATGATTAGTTAAAAAGTAGATAGTAAATTAAAAGGTTAATATTATAATATTATTATTCGTCTATCACCAAAGTTTTGAATGTTTTTAAATAAATACCAAAAATTACAGGTGAAGGACGTATTACCGGCGGATCCCACGCCAGCGGACCCGGTGCGAGATTTCTTCACGCGACTGGCAGGCAGCGACGGGGAGGTCGACTGGCGCGAACTGAAGGAGATACTCGACTACGCCATGAGGGAAGGTACGTAGTACATTATAGGTACATAAATATATTTTTTTATTTAAAATTTTAATCTGTTTCAATAGAACTTAAGGCAAATGTGAACAAACAAGTAATTAATCAGACCTTGGGATGGTTTGCTGATGTCCAATAGCAGTATAAAGAAGAAATTGATTAATCGATTGAATGTATCAATTTGTTAGTGATTTAATTTTGAAACTGTTTGGGTGTTAATTTTAACATAACTTAGTTAATTCATTTATAGCCACCCCCACACAGGTTATAATGGTAGTTAAATGATATATGTAAACTTACATATACGTTAACAGAGATTTAAAAGAGTAACTGTCGAGTTTCACGCGGTCTCTTCTTAACAGACAACAACTTTAAAACCCTGTCAAAGATTAAAAAAGTGATGATTTAAATGTGCTTGTAAACAAGTCTATTTGAAAAAAAAAAATTTTTGAATTTCAATATTAGAACGAAGAATCTCAGGTCTTATCTGTGCTGCCAGTATTCGTTAAAATCGACAGTGTGTAATATTTTTTTTTTATTTATTAAACTAGCGGCCCGGTACGTGCTTCGTTACGTATAAAGTGAAATAATAAAAAAAAAAAATTTAAATGACCGCATGAATGATATAACGACATGCTTGTACTGTTCACATTGAAAACAGTTTCAATTTGACAGCACAATCTTCATCTTAAAAAAAGTTTGAATTTGACACAAAAATCCCCATTAACAAAATGATCTGCCATTTATTGAATTTTTTTGTTACAAAAAATGTGATAAATGAAGAACCGCTTAATCGATTTTGTGCAAACTTCACATAAACCATCTACTAAATAGTCCGAACAAAGCCTAAACATTTGGTTTGGATAGGTGAGCTCGTTCTTGAGTTATAAAATTACAACGAAAAGTGGCATTAATTTATATATATATATATATATATATATATATATATATAGATATAATTGGGATATTTCTGTAGATAAAATGTTTAAATGTTGATTTTTTTTATTCATATTGTGTTAATGTATGCTTTTTCAGTATTTTTAATATTAATTATATTTATGGTTGAATTATACTGATTATAGTACAGTCAGCAAGGATAATGGGGATATGTGAAATAAAATGTAACGAAATTATTTTTTTTTGTCAAATTTGTTTAGCTCTTAAACAGCATCCCTCTTCAAATTGTTTAATTGATAAAATATTTTGTTATATACACAATGAAAGTTATGTAGGTACGAAATGAGAAATTACACAATTAAACAGAGATTTCTAAATGCATCATGCTGGTCTTAAAAGAATAAACTTGACAGTTTTTTCAAGGCCATCATTTGTTGATTTTTGTAAATTAATTTTCATAATATCGCCAAAAAAAGAGGGCTGTTGTTTATAATGAATTATAAAAAATAAAATATTTATAAAATAATTTGTGCAGTCAACGAAGATTTAATATTTATTTCCTTATTATTTTTGCTGAAGATCAGAATTATAGGATATAATATAAAAGCCTTAAAAACGGCGTGAACTAACAAAAGCGCGGATAACCCCACGGATGTAATGTCCGTGTAATTAATTTATTATAATTAAATATATTCTCTATTATATTACATATTTTGTTTTTTTAATGCCCATTTTTGAGCTTTCACTGTTGTAATGCTTATGTGCCAAGTTTAAAGCGGCTTTTGTGGTTTCGTTTGCTATCCGTTTGAAGATATAATATATGTAAGTATTATGTTTATAGTTTGTATGTATAGTGACTTCCAAATGTCTTCTACGAATGATTTTAATTGATGTTATTTTATTTATCATCAACATTTAAATTATTAATAATTATATCAGTGTTTTTTAGATTTTTTTTGGAGGTTACTGTACTTTTTATAATTAGAAATACACATTTTCTTGTATGATATTTTTTTTAATATTTAATAATTTTAAGCACTCATTATATAAAAAAAAGTAATATTTTATTAATATTATTTTGTTAATCATTATTTACAAAATATTGATAAAGTTATTATTTACAAAATTTTTGTATAATTATAGTAGATTAAATTTAAATAAAAAAACTTTAGTTTTAGCAAATTATAAATATAAATTATATATAAAATATAAATTTACTGTAGTTAGGAGCTGTTCTGAAAATACTTCGAAAATTAATTACTCATCATCTTCTTACCCTTATCCCAATAATTTGGGGTCGGCGTAATATGATTTTGTCCATATTACAAAAAGACTTGGTTTTTAGTTTTACGACCGGCCACCTGCCTGCCTGACGTCCACCCTCTTTGGGAAATTAATTACTAAATCTATTAATAATTAAGGATTCCTAAATGTAGAATTGCGCATTAAAATATATTGAAATATAAGCTAGTTCATGTCTTGGATTGGTGTTATTGTAAACCAGAGTTTGTACCAAAACGGTACCGATACCGGCTCAATTCGAGCCACGGCTGATATGACCGTCGCCCTGCAGAGATGGCAATGCGGCGTGGAGGAGCGTACGACGGTGGCGGGGCTGGCGGGGGCGGCGGGGGAGGGGGGATGGTCGGCTCCCCCCCGCAGGAGCAGAGCTGCCTGGAGCAGCTGCTGTGCGCACTGTGCACGCCCATCTGCAAGGAGCTGGGCGTGGACCTGCAGCAAGTGCAGCAGCAGGGCGCCGAGCAAGTGCATCTGACGCAGCCGCAGCCGCAAGGTACCGGAGTGTCCGCCTCTGCGCGCATTAACTTTATTTATATACGGGGCTATTAAATAAAGTATTACAAAAAATAAGCCATATTTGTTTTACTAAGCTAAGTGGGCCGTTACCAAATTAATAAAAATCCAAAGATTAAATTTTACTTTTGACAAGTTCTGCCCGCCGTATTTATCTATCGAAATTAAGTGGACGTGACCAAATTAACATGAATTCGACTGTTATTTTCGGTTTTGATATTTACTGGCCGTTATTTTTATCTTATTAAGTGACCGTGATAGAGTAATAATAATCTGTTTATTAAATTTCGTGTTTGATAGATTCTGCCCACTATATTTATCTAAGTAACCGTGACAGAGTATAAAAATGTGCCTTTAAATTTCGTGTTTGATAGTTTCTGCCCGCTATATTTATCTAAGTAACCGTGACAGAGTATAAAAATGTGCCTTTAAATTTCGTGTTTGATAGTTTCTGCCCGCTATATTTATCTAAGTAACCGTGACAGAGTATAAAAATGTGCCTTTAAATTTCGTGTTTGATAGTTTCTGCCCGCTATATTTATCTAAGTAACCGTGACAGAGTATAAAAATGTGCCTTTAAATTTCGTGTTTGATAATTTCTGCCCGCTATATTTGTCTAAGTGACCGTGACAGTAGATATCCGCATCTTAAATTTTCTTTTGTCAGTTTCTAGCTGCCATGATTACTTTATACTGTCGTTATGTACGATACATTATTAGGTACGTTGTAATCTTTCAATAAAGGGGAATTTAAAGACGTTCCATTTATTATGCTTATCTTTATGCCAAATTTCATTCAAATCTGTTCAGTCAATTCAGCAAGATTAATAACAAACATCCAAATATATGTAAACAATTTTATATTTATAAATTGTAAGAATAAATGAAAATACGTGTTAGTTTCACTTATAGTAACTAAAGTGACCACAGAGTATTTATGTTCAGACGTTTTTTGTTTGAGTTAAATTTTTTATATTATTTTTTGTTTAATATTTTTGTGTAATATTCTTTTTTATATGTTATTGTACTCATGCTTTCCTGGGTGAGCGTATTGGAAGACTGTAAGGCTCACCCAATGGATGTAATCAATAAATAAATAGCTAAGTTTATTACTAGGGATTTGTTTACTTTTTTTATTCATTTATAAATAAATGAAACTATGTATAAATACTATATATAACTATATAATAACTAGACATACTAATGCGCGCATTGGCTGATAGGTTTTTTTTTTATTACAATTTGGCAGAGATGTATGTCTTCCTTATTGCCGATTTTTTTTTCATTTTATTTGATCTGAAATCACATTTTTTAAACCTCGTATTAATAATTGATTTTTTACAGGATTCCAGTAAATCTGCATGATCTCTTTGCTGCCACTATATTATTCATTTTTTTTTATAGAAATGGAGGCATAAAAGTCTATTTTTGTCTATGCTTACGTGTTTTCAATGTTTATTTACAGATCTACTATTCGGACGACCTTTTAATTATATGTTAATTGATTATTTTATGTTTTTATGTAAAATAATGGTTTAATTTTTACGTTACGTTTATTGTTATTGTAATAAATAATAAATATTTATTTTTTGTTTTATAAATAAATCAATAAATCATTATTTTACATCCATATTGTATCTCTTTACGCTACTAACCACACGATATGTAAATATTATCAATTAATTTGTTAATATTTGCATATAATTGCTTTCGTTGCACGTATTATTTGGCACTTGTAATATATCAACAAAAATGGGCATTTTAAAATAAGTTATTATATAGAATTAATAGTATATAGCTAAGAATAACCTCCATTTCCATAAAAATAAAATATTGAAACGTTGTCTATAAAAAAAAAGCTATTATAAAATGACACTATGGTTTTATAATTGTAATGCTATGTTTATATAACACGACCAATTTGAGTTGTCACGAAAAAAAAATTGGTGTAATTTAATTTGGTCGTGTTATATTGTTTTCATTTATGTAAGAAATTATTTGCTCAAATAATTTCTCACAAAATGATTATTAAACAATAGCCAGTTTCCTCACAAACGTCTTGTCTTTTAATTTTAGGGTTTTATATGAAAAAAAAAAAAATTAGACAAATACTAATATTAGTGTTTTATACTTAATGATTACATAAATCCTAGTTTTAGAGTTTTAACCCTAAGAGTAGCTAACCCTCATCTTAGAGTTTTATACCCTAACTCTCTTAATTGTGAAATTGTCAAATATGTAATGAACCTATTTTAGATTTTTTTTCTTTTGCGTTAAATTCTCGATTTGAAATAATACCATAAAACATTAGTAGTTAGGATAGGTAAGTAGAAAGTTCTAGTTTTTATAAATAAAGGGAAAATATTAGATAAATCTTAATTTTAGGGCTGTATACCCTAAGATTAAGGTTTTGTTTTAGGGTATAAAACTTGATTATACTTGTAACAAGCGATATTTGGAAACATTGTGATACACATTTAAATTTATGTAAGCAGTTTGTGAGGAATTTTGCTAATTGATCATAAAAAGTGTATGAACATTGCAATTTGGACTTTACTATCAAACAATACGGTTCATCAGTGTTCATAGACTTGTTGCTGTACCTTAAAGAGGAATTGTAAATGTGATTTGATGGAAAGTGTATCATTTCTCATATGGTCGATGTTTTTACAGAATTAAAAGGACAAGGCTTCTCAGAAGACGTATGCAGAAGTATGGTATCAATGCTTGACAAGGATAATTCAGGTGGGCTTGGATTTGAAGAGTTCAAAGAGCTGTGGATCGATCTGCGTAAATGGAGGGTGAGTATATAATTAGTGCCATGTATATGTATATATTATTGCCAATAAGATGACCCGGCAAACGTTTCACCTCCTACTGCCATCTACCGGGTCGGGATAAAAACTATTCTACGCATTCCCTTATGGAGAGGGCTTAGAATCAGCGACCCGGGAGTCCGCCCCAAGTCCTCCACCTAAACCTCCTACCAGAAGGGTCAGAAGACCTGTCATTGTAAAACTATTGTAGCTCTCAAATTGGAGCAAACATTGCATTGTATAAAATTTCATTAAAATTTAACGATTTCGGAGATTAGCATGGACGAACATCGTGACTCGGGATTTTTATATATTAAAATAAGTGCTAATCAAGCAAACGACCCGCCTGATAATAATCGGCATCTGCAGTGAAAATGTATGCCCATATTTTGTAAGCGTTTGATTTTTGAATTGCATTAATTTTGAAATGGTCAGCCGACCTTTATTTTTATCAATTTCTTGGGCTAAAAATTGTGTTGTTTAAGAATAGAAGAAGATATGCCCCACTGAGGAAGGGGGGGGGGATAGATAGCTAGTAATGGAGTTTAGTAACCGTATTGCTAGTTCAGATAAGTATAGTTTTGGGGTTTAGTGATCCTATTATTATTATGGCAATAGGATCACTAATCTCCATAACTGGGAAGCAATAAGGTAGTCGTGTTTTTTGTTTTTTAATGGGTGAAAATGATATGGTAACCCCGCCTGCGCTAACGGGATACGTTGGCGGAGCACCAGTGAAGGGTGATTGATGAGAATGAAAACAGGCCAGTTAGCCCATCATGATGAATTCATCAGGAATTAACCATGATAGTTTCCAGGGGGAACCGCGAGGAGGTCGACCTGGTTGGGTATATTGCTAGCAATGGGATTCTTAGTCTCCATTACTAACAATCCCTTTCCCCCCAAGGTAGTCGTGTAGGTCTCATAACTTGGGTGTCATAAGACCCGACTAAGGGAGCTTATGGTGGAGGGATAGGCGGCAGCGTCCCTCTTAAATCATCACTAAGAGTCAAATTGCGGTTGCCAAGCGTGGCAACTCAATAGTTGCAACGTTTGGCCCCTGTAATTAGCACATTAGTATATATACGAGTATAGCATCTCGTTCAAATAATTTTGTCGTTTTGAGCAATTGATAATATTTTGTTTTATTGTTTCAAATCGCAGGAGGTGTTCCGGTTATACGACACGGAGGGCCGCGGCGGCATTCCTGCGTACCACCTGCGTGACGCACTGCACTCGGCCGGATACACTGTCAATGCGCATATACTCAACGTGCTCGCTCACAGGTTTTATTTGTTGTTTCTAATTAATCATTTCATTCATTCATTCAGTCAGTTATTTGTTCAGTCATTCTTAAATCCGTTCACGTTTCACCTACCCGTTTCGTTATTCACTAGCAATTCGCCTAGCTTTCGCACGGGTAGATAAATAGTAAGATAGATTAGTATTTTATATTAAGACTTTGTACAAAAGTCGATTGCTTGGGTACCTCTGTCCCATTCGTGTTTCAACCGTGAAGCAGTTGTGTTTGCATGGCTGTGTTTCGGTTTGAAGGGTGGGATATGGCGTGAATTTACTGGGTACAGAGGAATAACACCTGAGTCCTCAGGAATAGCAACGCATGGGGGGGGGGGGGGTTTCATGGGCGAAACAGTATACTCTGTTATGTCCATGGTACTGCTCATGTCTATAGGCGACGGTTACCACTTTCCATCAGGTGGGCCGTCAGCTTGTTTGCCATTCTGTCGTATAAAAAAAAATTATATTGAATATATTGGTTAAACTTTTAAGGCGCTATAAGACAGTAAACAAACTCATTTTGATTTATTCGTATTAACATAGGTACAGATGATTTAGTATATTGAAGTTGGAATAAATAATACATTTAAAAAAAAAATATCGAGTTCCTCTGGCCAAAATGGCGTAACTCTTATTCCCAATATAAATATTTCGTCATTTTTGTCAGACGATGCCGTTGTAGTGTTTTTGTTAGTGACCCCTAGTTATGGGAAATGAGTAATTGAAATATTTAACAAATTGTTAAAACGTATTTAAAAGAATGACAATATCAAATTTTCCTGCGCGCGCAACCTCGCATGCGCTCTGTTAATCACTATTTATTTTTCTACAAATTTCAAAATCTTTGAGGTTTGCAGCTTGGAGACTAGCGTGAACAAACATCGTGACATGTGATTTTTATATATTAGGCCCTTACATATGAAATTGGTGTCATGTACGCGAGGAATATAAAGTCAATTTTTTTATTGTAAAATATATTTAATTAATCAAAGTATGCACCGTTGTTATCTATGTACTTTTGCCATCTCATAGATAGTTCCCTTTACTAAAAAAACCGTGGGGGCGAGAATCAATAAACTCTTTGGAGACGGTTGGGACTGCCGCATTGGAGTTGAATTTTTTCCTTATAAGAAGTTGTCGAAATTCCGGAAAAAATGGTAATCTGTTGGAGCAAGGTCCGGGGAGTACGGTGGATGTCGCCGACATTCCAATTGTAGCTCATCTAACTTAGAGGTTGTTTGTTGTTTTCTTGCGTTGTCGTGAAGCAGCAGTGGCCGATTTGCTTCAAGTGGATTAAGACAGTTTTATCACTTACCCCGAAGCCTGCAGTTTTCTCTAAATTGCTTTGTGATGGATCCGCTTTCACAATAGCCTTTAATTCTACGTTTTCCACTTTGGTCTCCGGCCGTCCACGGGGTTGGTTCTGAAGGTCGAAATTTCCAGAACGAAAACGTCGAAACCAAAAACGTACCGTGCTTTCTTGTGCGACACCAGCGCCGTGCACATCATTAATTCTTCGAGCTGTTTCTGCAGCACTGGTGCCACGGTAGATATTTCATGTTTTCCGTGTGCGGTAATAAGCGACGCCAAGGAAAAAAGTAATAAGGAAAAAACAAATGAATGACTGTTTTCAAAACTCCAGCTAACTGAACCTGTACCAGCTTAATGAATTTATAAATTTGAATTTGGAATTCAAATACAGAGGAGATATTTCAGGTTAAAGTGCGACAAAACGCTAATTTCATATGTAAGGACCTAATATTAAAATGTAAATAGAATTATAATTGTAAATTTTTTTCTTTGTATAGATACGGATCCTCTGACGGTTATATCCACTTTGACAACTTCATCATGTGCGCTGTGCGGCTCAAGACCATGATAGGTGAGTTATCGTAGCTACTTTTTATAATATGTTCAAATTTGGAAATTGAATTAAAAAAAAATATAAATTACTTGTATATGACTCAATCAGCTAGTCGCATTAGCTGATTTTTTTACGGATGATAAAGGAATCTCTATTGGTTTACATTAGCATGGTACCAGTGAGGGATGATGGATGAGGATGTAGTCAGTCCAGTATGCCCATTAAATTCACCATGATGTATTCCAGTGAGGAGGGGGGGATCAATTTACTGGGTATACTACATATAGAACTGACGTGCATATATGATTTGAGTTATGAAAGTACATAAAGCAAGAGATAACATGTATGTATGATGTATGAGACAATATGTATGTATGTTATCCTTTGGTATATTTTAGTAAATAACATGTAATAATAGTTGCAATTTTATTATAGTCACAGATACAGTTCCCGACCTTCTAGACAAGTGGTAAACGAATTTGTCGATAGATACGTTATCGCTACCGCATGTATGAGATGAAACGAGATAACGATGTTCGGCGTCTTGCTCTTTTTCATGCGTACGCATAAACGTATCTACTGATGGCTGAATTCGTTTGTCGCTTGCTCAGAGGGTAGCGGTCTGTATAATTTATATATATTTATATAAAATTTAATAATTTTCTATAAAATAAAAAACAAACAGCAAAGAACGAACCCCTCGAAAACCTGGAGAGGGAACTGCAGTGGAACCAGTGAACGTTGACAGCGACTACCGTCGACCAAACAAGTATACCATCCGAACGGTCACATTAGCGAGCAGCCGCACGCTCACGCTTGACACGAGTCGCCTATACACAACTTGAATATATACTTACATCAATATATAAACAATATATCGATACAGAATCATATATATAAAAACTGAAACTATATTTAAAATTATAGATTTAATTGAAAATTATTGTTTATATTTATATGTAAGTGTAAATATATTACTTCGTTTCTAATATATAATTAATTACATTAAAATAGTCAAAATTATATTTTTAAATTTTGTTAAAATATAAAGCGACTCCTGAATAGCGTAAATCACATGCGACAGTAACTAAGTTGTAAAGCTAAATATATTATGAATGGTATTTTTAATTAAATTGTATGTTTTTTTTTTAATATTTGCAAAATACACTTGTCGCATCTGATATTGTCCACTCACGTTTGTGTATTTTACAGAATTATTTTTTATTTATAACAATTTCTGTTTTATTTTAATTTATATTATTTTATTTAATATTAAATATGCATTCTGTAAAAATACCAAACAAACTACACGCTTACTAACTGTATTCAATTGTTTCAGAGCCGATTTATTTTATTTATTTTTTTCTAAAACAGTTGAATGTTTTCAGGCATCTTCAACTCGAGATCTTCGGGCGGGGGCTACGCCACATTCTCGATGGATGACTGGCTGAATCGCACAGTTTACTAGATCTAACAAATGTCTAAATGTCTTATAGTTGATAAGCTGAAGGCTGATATACAAACTTCCAGTCCAATATGTTGATTGTTGTGACATACGTCAGATATATAATATAGTCTCTTAATATGTGTAAATACGTATATAAAGCCTAAAATGTATATCAAATATATTAAAAGATATTACACCGAGATTCGTTTCTAACTATTGCATCGAGGAAATCAGAATCTGAAGGTGGATTTAGAACGAGCAAAGAGCTAATCCATGTTCTTCCCAATTTTTCTTCTAATTGTATAAAGTCTTCTAATAGTATTATTTTGTTGTCCAACTGCGTTCGCAAATAATTTTTTACCTAGTTCTATGTTCCTGCTCGTATTCTATGCACTTTGTTACGTTCAATTCCATCTTTACACGTAAGCTTTAAGTGGAATCAACGATCTTGTTAATATATTGTGTTTATAACGTTATTGTAAACATATTGTAAAATTAAGAGACCCCATACAATGCAACAATTATAAAGAATTTTGAATTAATCTTTGCAAGTCACAAAAATTTAATTTTTACAAATTTCTTACGGGTATGTTAATTTATAAATTTAACAAATTTTCAATTACTAAAAAGTATTTTTCTAAATTAACATTATTGCATCATGTAGCATTTTTAATGATTAATTATAAGAAATATATTATTATATACACGTTGTATATAATAACTGATGAAACCTGCCCAGGTTACAGAATGCCAACAGTATTTTTTTTTTATCCACCGACACGGTCCATTCCAAGAAGGCCTTTGGGCCAAAATGAACAACTGGGCCAAAGTGACCAACGGAGGTCAAATCGGTCAGTTGGCCTAAAGGTCACCCCACCCATGTTAATTTAGTCACTGTGCGATTCTAGCTGTAATTTTTACGTGCTTTCTTATTTCTCTTGAAATATCTCACTCGTATTTTTGTATTTATTATTAAAAAAATATATAAAGATTATCTATGTACCTTATCATTGAAATTCTCGCATTTTTATGTGCATTCACAATTTATTTTTATTTGCAATTTATTTATCAAAGTATAACTTATGTTTTTTTTTTAATAAAGTATGTTTTCATGTATTTGTAAAATGTGTTTTATTTTCTTGATCTAAAACTAAGTTCCGAGAGAAAGGTCACTGTTTAAATTTCAGATATAATATCATTGAAAGTATAGTAAAGTACAGAAGTATATAAAATGTTGATATTTCTTTTTGGCACCCGGAATAATATAGGAAATATTTAAACATATTTTCCCATTCTTCAGATTTGCTTTCTGGCGACACATTTGATGGAGTGGTAACAGTCATCTATAGATATGAATAGTACCATGCGATATATTAGCCCACTACCTATCCTTATAATCACTTAGTCCTACGTATTTCCAGTTTTATGTGTGTTATATATATGTGTATTAATATGGTATATTTGTATGTATTTATGCGTATATATGTATATGTATGTATATATATTTATATGTGTATGTGTATGTATATATATGTATATGTTTGGTTGTATGTGTTTATTTATGTATGTATATGTATATGACTATGCTGTCACAAATATTATTTTTTACAAATCTATCTTTTTTAACGCGCCACCTACCTACTTATGCTTTAATCCTTTCTACCCAAAGGTTGTCTGGAAGAGATTGCTTAGCAATAAGACCGCCTTTTGTACTACACTATACGTATTGAAAATTGTTTTAACAAATCATGTTATGTTGGTGCAATAAAGTGTTAAATAAATAAATAAATATTAATGGTATCCCACATGACAACTACAAAAAAGGGTTATAAAAATAAAACTAAATAAATAAAAATAAATATATACGAATAAATATAAATATAAATGAATAAATATATATGTATAAATATAAATATAAATGAATAAATATAAATAAATCTTGCCACATTGTAGAAATCCACCTAAGTCGCGTGCATACTTAAATTGGGCATGGCTGGAAGCTCCGATTGCATCAGACAATTTCGCACTCGGCCCTCCTTAAATACGGGTATGGGGAAGTGGGATGGGGATGAGGGACGACGAGTAGATACAATATCTATATTTATTTAAAAGTACCTTTAGATGTAACCTTATTTCCTTGACAGATTCCGGTGTTGAAGATACAAAAAATAATAAACGAAAATGATAATATAGAATTATTTATATCGGTTTTAGTTATACAGGTATTTACTTAAAAGAGTTGGGTTTTATATATATATATATATATATATATATATATATATACAGAAAAATAACAACACATGTAAATATGTATTGATATTTTTCTATTACAAAATTCTCGATTCGTGTTGTAGTCAAAATTCTTGACCTGTCAAAACCGTTTTTGACCAACCTGTTCAGTAAAAATTGCTTTCGACTGGTTAAGAGTTTTGATTGCAACATATGTACAAAATTTGTCTGCAAATACATTCATTATCATCATCATCATATCAGCCACTATCTGTCGACTGTTAAACATAGACTTCTGTAGACTGCCATAAGGAAGGCTCCAAAGCCACCTGCATCTAGTGACTCTGTAATGCATTTGAGGTCGTCACTCCATCTAGTGGGGATTGTTTCGCACTGCGCTCTTGCCGACATACACAGACCACAAGTGTATGTCGGCTTAAAACCTAGTGACCCGGAGGTTGTTGCCTTCGGAGTTGAAGCCGGGGTAATGGGGTACGCCCCGAGGCCGCTACCTCGCCCGCCCTCACCATCTGGCGGGCAATGAGAAGACTTGTTGTTCTGTTGTTCCGAAAAAGGTTGCTACTCAAGAACTTCTTCATCGTTTGTCGGTGCTTTATGACCAGCCCATTAGCACTTCAGCTTGCTTATTCTTCGGGCTATATCGGTCACTTTGGCAAGTACATTATTGCTTCTCAATATATAATATTGATTGCGTTATTTTTTTATTGCTTTTTTCCTTATTTATTTCCTTTTCGGAGACTTGTGACTTGACGCCTACGATTACTTCCTCAACAACTTTATACAAAATATATACACAGTCTTTTTCATAACGTCAATTTAATAACATTCAAAATTTACAAAAATGTGAAAAGTCTATTTATTTTAAATATATTTACAGTATTATTACAGGTTACACTCTAGGTTTGTTGCACGCGTCCGTGTAGCCTTATTTCAGGTTGTAGCTGAAAATCAGTGCTTTGCTTTTAAGCAAAACTATCACTGAGCTGTAGCCTATTTGGGTCACTGCGACACACTTGGTGAAAACGTATCTCCAATATTCATCTTTTATTTTATATTTGAAAAAATGTAAATAATCAGATTGTATAAATTTATTTATTAATTTACGTGTGTCATAAATGGCTCAAATAAAGTGTTTATCTATCTATCTATCTATCTATTTGTAACCCACTTAAAATATAAATGCCATAAAAAGGAATATTTTATATAATATTTTTCAGGTAATTTTTTATTATTTTTACTTACAACTCCAAAGCTCATAACCAAATATTATTATCTACATAACGTATATATATATCAATTGGAAATTCATCCTTACACCTTATAATCTTAAAGGTCATATACAGTGTGGTCTCAGAGGAATTTCCTTCCAGAAACAGTCAAGTTGTAGAGCAAGGTTTTCCCAAGGGAATATAATAACATGGGGTTCTTCTAAATATAATTAATTAATTAATTAGGCACCTTTTATGCAGGTACATTACATAGTGTGACATCGTCAATAATCCATTGAGAATTTGTGGTAATCACCGGTCGAATAACTCCACATGGTGGCGCCTGAACATTTTAAAAATCAATACATGAAATAAAAATAAAACTGGTCGCTGGTCTGTACATGGAAAATATGTAAGAAAAAATATTATAACTTTTTTGGGGCTTTATGAACGCCACAGAACCCAAATACAATGATATTTAGAATTTTTGTCTGTTTATCTGTTTGTCTGTATGTTTGTGCACGCCTATCTCAATAATAGCTTAACCGATTTGAATGATTTTCACTAATGCATTGCGGTCTGCTCTACTTAACATTTAGTGTTTGTTTTATTTCAATCGGTTCATAAATAAAAAAGTTATATATCAATCTAAAGAATCACATATAAAATGCTATAAAATAACCGATCAGTTAAATTGTCTGAAACTTTATAATACAATATAAAACCGGACTGCTGATGAGTTCCAATGGGAATGATATACGGGAACTGCATAGAAGCGAGCAACGCCGCGGGAAACGGGTAGTTAGTAAATATAAATGAATAAATACTCTTGAAGGTATATTACATAGCGACATCTGGTTTTATACTAATCAAAATTTGTACGAACTTAGAATGGCAAACAAGCTGACGGCCCACCTGATGGAAAGTGGTAACCGTCGCCTATAGACATGAGCAGTACCATGGACATAACAGAGTATACTGTTTCGCCCATGATACACCCCTCATGTGTTGCCATTCCTGAGGATTCAGGTGTTATTCCTCTGTACTCAGTAAATTCACGCCATATCCCACCCTTCAAACCGAAACACAGCCATGCAAACACAACTGCTTCACGGTTGAAACACGAATGGGACAGAGGTACCCAAGCAGTCGATTTTTGTACAAAGTCTCCCTCTGGATATGGAAGATATTTAAGAAAAATGAATATAAGAGATCTTAATAGGTAAGGGCAATAACCCTTAACAGGAACAGCACGTTTTAGAAATTTTGTCTGTCTGTATGTTTGTTCCGTATCAAACAAAAACTTCTACACGAAATTGAAAAAAAAAATGCAGTTTTAACAATTGCATTTCTGAACATTTAACTAAATTAAAAAATGATGTTTATTTTATCTTAATATGCCATCCACAAGGGGTATATTTTATTAATTGTTCTACATTTAAAATCTACGCATACGAAGTAGCGGGCAAAATGCTAGTCTGTAATATAAGTGTCGAAAGGAAAAAAAATTCAAAGACCTGTGTTCAACAGTGAAAGCTAACCGTTACGATGCTGATTATGGGCCCTTAACCTATTAACTCAACTAATGCTTGGTTTTAAGCCGCAAAGCGCACATGATGAAGTTGTTGAACAGTATATATCCTTTGTGGGTTCTGTATCTAAAATAAACATGATATTTAGTGGAAGTCATCCCACTAGTAATTAAATTAAACCTATTAATATTATAAATGTGAAAGTTTGTAAAGATGGATGGATGTTGCTATTTCGGTAAACATTATTTCAGATGACAGATTATATATATTATGGTCTCTCTTTTATCAGAACCACATTAACAGAATAGAAGCAATTCAAAAGCGCTTTGTTAGATTCTTGAGCACTAAGTTTGGTCTGAGAAGGAAACTTCATTCGTATGAATTAAGACTTAATCATTTCGTCATAGTCGTAGAATACTGACGGATTGTTATATGTAATCTTTGTCAGATCCGTCAGTATTCTACGACTATGACGATTTTAACATTAATTCTCTTATAAATAGAAGATCTATGTCTGATTTCATTACTCTCTATAAAATAATAAATTATAAATGGGACAGTAGCACATTGTTGAGCCTTGTTTCATTTCGTACAGGTAATAAAAGAATACAAAAATTATTTTATATACCGATTTGTAATAATAATGTATCGTATCACAATTCAATTATTCGCATGTGCTGAAAATACGAGGTTTGTCCGGAAAGTACGTATAAAAGTTTTTTAAAAATTTTGTCGTGGTGAAGAATCCAACGCCCCTCTCGCGCCAATTCTGGACGAACTCGTGCCACACGAGCTTTGAGGCGTCTGAGCACATCGACGTAGAATTTTCCATCAACTGTCTGGCCTGGAGGGACGAATTCTTGATGGACAATCCCCCGAACATCGAAAAAAACAATCAACATTGTCTTGACATTTGAGCGGGATTTTCTTGATTTTTTTGTTCGTGGTTCCCCGGATGTCTTCCACTCTTTGCTTTCACGGCCATTCTTGCCGAGTTTCGAGAGAAACTTGATTACGACGCGCTGCTCTTCAACGGAAGCGGGCTCCATGCCGACGGGGTTTCGTTAAGAGGTAACTTCACAGATGGCGTGACAAGCCAGTTCGCACCGCACGGCGGTCAGACCAG